CTCGAGAGATATTAGGACTACGGCATAACTTTCTTGTTCTTTATTCAGTCCTTACTCAGCAAATCAAGAGATAATCTTCATCATAAATATAATGGTTTGCCATTACTTTTTAAAAACCATTTCGGGCAAGTTACAGCCGTGGCTGGCTTGAATAAATTCCATCCAAGATGCCCCATTTTCTCTTCTCTTTCGATTTCGTAAGCAAGCGTCATCACATAACTCCCACAAACAATAGTCCAGCAGTGCTGAATCGCACGTGCTTGGAGGTAAAGCCGTAGGCCCTCGACGCGGGATAATGCACTCACCAAAACTTTCCTTCAACAAATTGTTTATTTCGTTAGCTGTATGGTTTGTGCCTCCAATACAGGCACGAAAAACTCATTCATCATGGCTCTATAGCGTTACCGATGGGCTATAACATTACGACCGGTTTCATTCTTGATGAAATATAGGTCAAGCAAAAAGTTCGTTCGGTTTTTATCAAAGAGATGGCGTTATTGTCCATAGTATATACCATGCATGATATGCATACCGCCGGATAGGTAAAGAGTTCAGCTACACTATGCAACAAACCGCACTCTTCTAACACACCTGGTTACCGAGCAATAGGACGAATAAACATCGTCTGGAACCAAAAGTTCATAGGCGCCCATAAACAAATGAGAGCATCTGGGGTAAAAGTTATATAACGAGCCCTTCGGTCTCGTCTAGGGCAAAAACAATACTAGTGTTACGTGTCGCATCATGTCATACTATACACCTGAAAACGTGTTTATTCACTCTAAAAGCTTGTCTTAGACAGTTTTTCGATTGTTTGACTCAGTACGTTGAGAGCGCTCGTCGAAGATGGACACCAGCAGGGAGAAAATCCGCTATATTTTACAATTTTTCTTTGATCAAGGCGATATAGCAGCCAAGGCGGCTGAAAAAATTAATTTAGCTTACGGGCCCGATACTGTAAACGAAAGTAGAAAAATGGTTTGCGAGGTTCCGTTCCGGTAATTTCGATGTCAAAGATGTACCAGGTTTTGCTGTGTTTTTGGTGGGACTGGCGAGGAATCATCTTCTACGAGCTGCTCTCTTATTGCCAAACGCTCAATTCAGCCCTCTACTGCCAACAACTGGACCGCTTGCAGGCAGCACTCATCCAGAAGAGGTCATTTTTTGATCAACAGAGGCCAAATTGTGTTTCATCAGGAGAACACCAGGCCACACACGTCTTTGGTGACGCGCCAGAAGCTCCAGGAGCTCGTATGGGAGGTCCTAATGCATGCACCTTATAGTCTGGACTTGCCACCAAGTGATTACTATCTTTTCCTGTGCATGGCGAACGCGCTTAATGTTGAGAAATTGGTCTCAAGAGAGGCCTGCGAAGATTGGTTCTCCAAGTTTTATGCCAATAGCGGTGCAGCCTTCTACGAAAGGGGTAAAACGAAGTTGGCATCTCGTTGGCAACAAGTTTACGAACAAAACGGCGCATATCTAACTTAAATCGGACAAATGTACACAAAGTTATCATATTTTGAAGAATCAAAAAAAAAACGAACGAACTTTTTACTTCACCTAATATTACAAGTAAAAAACATGCCAAGTACAATAGCTTCCAACGCTTCGACTCAATAAAAATACTTCATGATATAAATGCTAATTAGAGAGTACTCACCTAGCCCTACCTAAGTGGAAGCCATCAAGTTTCCTTAAAATACACTAGACTTGGGAGTTCAAGTCAAATTTCAACTTAGAAAACGCTATAGCCATGTCTTCAAGCCTTCACCCCAAGTTAATTCAAAGTTGCTAGCTGAAACTTTATCATGGAACCTCAACCAATCTGTAAAGACGTCAAACTCTCACCGGTAAAGGGAGACCTAATCAAGATGCCGCAACTAATTAGATGCTTCGAGCCAAAAATTAACAAACCACTTAGAGAAGTCCTGTAGGTATCTGGGTACACCGTCTAATGTTTACTCTGCGGCAAAGAAAAGTTTTCCTTTTTCATAGAATAATAAATGAACCTCTAAAGCAGTCGAGATAATTTTTAGTATCCAAAAAAAAAAAAAACAACTTCCTGCTTGTCCTACATTAAAACAATTCAATTCACTTAACGCATACGAGTATATGTGTGCTCAATCTACTTCTACTTCTACTGCTTCTTCTTCTTCTTCTTTACTATTATTTTTTCATTATGCACAGTTATTTGTTTTTTCATTATGCAACAAATTGTGCATTTCACTTTCACTCAAAGTAAAAACAAAAGCTGAAAAGAAATCTCAAACAATGACCTTCCGATATACACACATACACACATACGTGTATGTACATACCTATGTAGAACGGTTACAAAGAGCGGTAAACAGAAATTTGCAATGCATACAGGGTGGTGAAGTGGTGGATTCTTAACACGGTCATACATATGTACGAGTATGTGAATTATTTTTCGCTTTATCATTGTGAATTCTATTTATGAATAAGTATCGAGTCATCTTGGCATGAAATAGAAGTTATTGGATACATTTATGGAAAGTTAAGAGGAACACTATGTGAGAATGCAAAGAGTGCGCCAAACGGACAGTTCTAAATTTTTGACAATCAGTTGTTCTATTTCTTTTCTTTTAAAGCCCACCAACAAATTATTTCTAAAATCCAAAGTCTTAATTGAATTTAAAGTTATAGACTCTGACGTCGACTGTCAAAATCAGCTGAAGAGTGTTTCTGCGTTGGATCTCAAGGCTGACATTGTTATTGGTTTTACTGGTGGTCCCTATATAGACGGAATTATCCACGTCCTCGAAGTTATGACTGTCAACAATAACTGGAGTCAGCCAGTGGCGAATGTGATGGATATTGTTGGATGATATTTCGTCTTGTTCTCGTTCTCTGCCATACCAATTCGTATCGCTTCATTAATATATCTGGAGAAATCCGACTGGCGCGTGGTGAATATCTGATCAATGGTGGATTTACCAGTTCAAAAGACACTGGGCTTTAGTGCTTCACACAATATGCACGTTAAGCCCTTTCCGCCGGCAGTTCTGTCCCACTTCTTATGGACTGGGTGGAGCACACTCAGATTCCATTCGTTGAGCATGCTTTCGTCCTATCATATTCTACAAAGATGCTGATGCACCTTGTCAGCTCTCCACCTTGTCAGCTCTCCACCGTCAAGTTTTATTAATTTTGCCGGTAAACAATCAGCTCTACCCGCTTTGTTATTCTTTATACCTCGTCACAGTTGGCTAGTCGAATGACTTTCCATCATCATTTATTGGGATTTCAGGTTCACCAACTCTGTGTGTTGTACATTCACTGCCATTTAGAAGCTGGAGAAGTGTTCCCACTATACAGTATGTTCTGGACATCAGTCACCAGACCTTCTGTCTGCAAATGCGCCTTGATTCTCTCTTCAGTTTGCTACTCGCACGTATTAAGTCTGATCGCAAGTTTCCGAAGTAAGCAGTATGTTTTCTCTATTCTGCAGCTCGACATTCCTTTTCGTACCAACTTTTTTCTGGCATTGCCGAAAGCCAATTTTTTCCATAGCGGCGCTACGTATGGAGTTTGAGATAACGTTCCACAGTTCCCTAGTAATAAGTTGAAAATGAGTGCTCTCAGGGCTTGTCTGTTGTTATTGCATTTAATTGACTTCGCTGTGTTTGTTGACCGACATCCTTTGATACACAGAGTCGGTTACGTATTTAAGCAGCGATCTATCATCAGCTTGATGATTTTTCTAGCGCTGGAATCCAGTTCTACAGACAGCCATATTTCAGACTCCGGCGAAGACAATCAGCCTTGCTAAGCACGATTTTGATATTGTATCGGGGCAGCGCTCACACTTATAATTGGCAATGCCTTTCTCTTTCATCGGAGCTTGGACGCAAATCAGCGGTGTGTTTATAAATGTCGTCTTTACGCGGATTGTGGCAAGACTTTCATCCATTGGAGTGATGACCAGTACTCGGCGACAGATTCTCTCGCCCACCACCAATCCGACACTGAATTTGTGCCCCTTTATATGACCGCTGCAAAAAATTTCGCAAAGATATACCTTTTACAGTCATTGTTCCGTCCAACGCACTTCTTGGGCGATGGGAATGTCAGTCTTCAGTCTTCCGAGAACATTAACAGCGACGCCTTCATAATTAAGGAACCGCACATTCCAAGTGGATGAACTCAAATCGTGATCTTTGAAACGTTTATGGGTGGTCCTCTCATCCGAGACTTATTTTCGATTTCTCATTCGAGCTGGTATCTAACCTCGTTGGGCGAGTAGCTGTAAATTTTTTAAGTAATTTCACTGATCTCTATTCATTGATTGCTGAGCAGTCTCAAAGTTATTAAGGTATACTTACATTAGTGTAAGATCTTATTTAGGGTTAAGCGGTAATAGCCGAGTGGTTATCATTACGTACTGCCATTCTGAAGACCAGGGTTCGAGTCCTGGTTCAAGTCGTTGATTGGTCGAATATCCAAAATTATTGAAATTTAATTTTTCTAATTGCGATCAACCCTCGATAGAAAATGTCAAGACGTGATAGTGTATTTCTGACATGAAAACCAAAGAAACTCGTAAAAATCTATCGGCCATTTGGAGGCAGCTTAGATTAAGCTGTAGGTTCCTTCTACTGCTTGAAAAATAACAGGAAGCATACCAAAAATTGGAGAGGAGCTCCACCGAAAATCGTTTCAGCGCTTACTGCAATGGTTTGGTAGCTTAAATGACCTTCTTATATCCATTTGGGAGCAGTAAATTGAAGACCCCACTCTCTGACGTTCATTGGGGAATTAGCGGTAAAAATACTATAAAATACATAGTATATATATATAAAGACAATATAGCTTGGGGTGGTTTATATGATATAGTCCTACGATTTCGAAGATTTTCAATGGAAATGTTTATTTGTATATTTAATTTGAGTATTTTATTTATATTGAAATATAATATTTTTTAATAAAATCGTGTTCTTGGATCACTCTGTATCCAACAAATGTACATAACATTTACGGCATTTTAAGCTCAGCTCAAAATCATAATTCCCATCGATCATTATTGATTGGTATTTGCTGGCATTCGTGTTTGTATGTATGTATGTCACACACACACACACACACGCAGAACTTTTTTTTCACACTCCCACCAATCGAATTCACCCATACATGTATTCATATATTTGTAAGCATTTCGAAGAAAGAAAGCCGTGCGATGACTATGCGTAATTGTAGGGCATTTTGTATGTTTTCCCCGGAGCTTAGTGCTTAGTTAAAGAAGTGGTTTTGTGACAAGACGTTCTCGGAAATATACTTTCGCGGTTGTTGGGGAATTTTAATAATTGAAGAAATAATATTTACAAGACAACATTGGCATCCAACACAAACAAATAATTAATTTACAAAAATATATATACACATACATACATACATACATCCACGGACCGAGCATGGACACTGACAGTGAGCGCGAGCGAAGTAGTGATCCCAATCTATTAACCAGTAGCGATAATCATACCTTTCATGATAACGATAATGATGATGATGGCGACTCCTCAGCGACCGAGTATGGTGAAAATATTCGTGATATGAGACATGTGGATTTCGGTTCCATAAGTGATGTTGTAGCGCACGCGGGCAGTTATGAGGATGACGATGATGATGATGACGTTGATGTGGATTATGATGATGATGACGACGACGGCGGTGATAACAATGCTAATGCGCCTGGGCGTGGTGAAAGAAAATGTCTTTTGGTGCCAGAAATCAAAGTGGTTAGGAGACATAGACGTTCGCGGAGTAAGCAACGTATTAAAAGACGCCAACAACAATCGCAGGAGCGTGAGAAGGAAACTTCAATTAACCCAAGTAAATTTAGGCATAATATTAAAAATAAAAATACCGCAAAGTATACAAACTATACATCGGAAGAGGACGAAGAGAATGTGCCATTAAAAGCCCGAAACTACAGCGAAAGACAACGAGTGCAGGACGAAGACAATTTGGGGAAAACACTGGTGCAAGTATCCCAGCCGTTTGAAGTTTGCACCATACAAGTTATAAAGATAAGCGGCAATTTAGCCGTTAGCTCCGAAGGTGAAGAAGAAGACGAACCTTTCAGAAGTCTGGAGGGACCAATAGATCCCCTAGTTCTCAACAACGAAATAAAAATTACTGTAGCAGATGTGAACATTGCGCCTGCAGTCGAATTGGAATTCCCAAAGGTCCTTGAAGAAATCGTTGCAGAGTGCGAGGAACCAGCTGAGCCACCAGATTGTGCAGTGCCAACAATAACACAATCGAACGATACAGGAAACCAAGTACTGGTTGAAGAAGTAACTGAAGAGATTGAACTAAAACTACGCCAAGCAGAAACTTTAATTGAGAGAGACAATGAAAACTTCGAAGATAACTTTGCCGAAAGAGTAGAGATATTAGCACTTGAACAACTACTCGAAACGGCACATGAAAACCACGTAGTCACGCATGACGAGACCAGCAAGCTCGATGACGCTGACGCTGAGTGTAGAGAAGACCTCGGTTTGGATGTACAATGTTTAGCTACAAACCCCGAGCCAATCACCACCAGCACCAAAAACTGCAACTATACAACGAACAACGAAGAACACTGGCGTGATAGTGTACGTGAATCGATTGAGTGTTACTACTCGGCGCAGGATCTGCTCGAGTACGGACATCTCTTAAGCAGTGGCCTTAAAACACCGGACATTGAATCTGGTTATTTTGAAAAATCCGAATCGGATATCTCACGTGATGAGAGCGATATTACGTATACGAATAATTGCAATCGTCTGAGGCAACGTTCATATTCGCAGACACATACCAATTTACAACTATCGAATATGTCGGAGAGTTTACGTTTCGAGTTGAATCGTTTCAAAACGATGATCGAATCAATTGAACGCGAACGTATCTATGGACCATCAGCGGAGACGAAGAAGGATACATTCGATACGGTTATGAAAGCCGAGGAGAGCTTTAATGCTGATACGGAGGCGGATGTGTCCACCGCAGCAGATGCAGTTGCAGAGACTGTATCGATCACAGTGACAAACGTCGAGGGCGGTGATGACGTAATCACGGGTACTACTGCTACAACCGCTATGGATGTGGTTGCACCGGAAGCTATGGCTATAGAGGGCGCAGTCGGTGGCGGCGTTGCGGGTATGGAAGATGTTACACGTGGCTATTGGTCGACCATTTTCGGTCAAGCCAGTCAAATAGAGGAGGCCATGCCGGAAATGACGCTTGACGAACGTTTTGCCGATATACAAAGTATGCCAAACTGACTTTTCACAAAACATACACTTGAAAATTTTTGTTTCTTTGCTCTTATGCGCACCTACCTCAACACACGCACACACACATTAAATGCAATTAACTCATGCAAACTGTTTAATCGCTTACGCTATTAAATTGTCAATCTCCTTCAATTAGCTAAGCTTCTACTGCATATACACGCTCACACTGAAAGCCTCTCTCCCCACCCACCAGCCCACTTTCAGTCTAATTTGCATGAATTTGTATTTCGAAAGTGTTTACCCATCACTCACCTTGATTTGTTGTTTCTTTTCATTGCAGAAGCACATCGTGCACTTGAATTGTTGGAGGATTATCACTCGAGACTATCGGAGCCGCAGGATCGTGCACTGCGAATTGCTATAGAGCGGGTGATACGGATTTTCAAATCACGCTTATTTCAAGCCTTATTGGGTAAGTGTGCATGTTGAATAGTTGATTGTGCCCTTTAGGAATAGCCAACGGAGCTCAAATTTGTGTATTGATTTTATATGTAAAAGTCATCGCCTATTTTAATGCGAACGTCAAGTTGGGTCTTAGGTTAGGTTAGATAAAAGTACAATAGTAACCGATTTCAGATTTCAGAGTGAGCTCAGGGCATTAATTTGACCTCATGGCGCTTTCTCCATCGCTTATGCGACTTTAGCCGAGCTAACAACAGCGCGTCATACATTTCTCAGATCCGTTACCACCTCAGTTACATAGCCCATTGACGAATCCATTTGATAGTCTAATCGGTGTAGTCGCTGAACTATGTCAACGACGTTGACAAATCTCGTGCAGCTTATTGCGGTGTTCGCCTTTGCCAAGCCCAATGAAAACTCCAAGCGCCGACTCATCAGACGTCAGCATCCTTTACGCTTCTGTGACATAAATTAGAACGTGAATGATTGTGACTTGTAGCACCATCCCCTTGGGTTGCCATAATTCTCGTGATTTCTGCCGTTCCTGTAGTATCTTTCGAAGGAGGCCAATCGCCTTAAAACTCTCCTCCTTTTTTATAGAGAGTATAACTCGTACGACCTCTTCTCGTAGTATTTCGAACAGATTTGCATCCACTTGGGAACGGGAAAGTTTTGAGTTTACCCTGATGCCTTTTCTCAGTAAAAGGTTTCTCTCTGGAATGTTGGTAGCAATGTGATTTACTGTAATGGCATCAATTTCAGCTTGGAATATACTATGTGAGAGTTTGATTGAGGTTTCCAAAGAAGGTTTGCGCAAGCGAACACATCGTCTGGCTCTATCATCAAATTCTCTCAAGCTCTCAGATATAGTGTCTGTTCATTAGATCCTCCTGGCGGTCAGTGTCATAAGGTTGGTGCGGGTACTCAAAGTTAAAACGGCTCTCTGCTAGAGTAGTATAACTTTTTAGGATTTGTGGAGTAGATCAAAAGCCTTGGGACCACAATTTTTATATGGTGAGCCTCATACCATACGCACAACCACAATGGAAGTGGTATGGTTCGACTTTTCACTTTAGCTCGGCCCCAAATAGATGCTGGATTTGTATTCATAAGCTGATTGGTCTAAGACCGAAGGTCTTGTGCCACTTGAACCATAGGTTAGTTTAGATTACACTGGGCGGTCCTTTGTTGTGGAAGTCCGTTTTGTTGCGAACTGAAGTAGACGTATTGTGGGGCGTCAGAGCTTTTGCGAAATTCAAGAGAACCTTAATATTCAATTTTGAAGCCTTCTCTAGTGCTTTGAACTGCGAAGCTGAGTTCTAGTGCATGCAGGACAGAAACAGAGGAGGTGCTTTCCTCCCTCCAGTGCTTAAATTGTCCCTCCAACATAGTGGCGCTATAATCAGGTAAGCATCAAATAAGACGACGCGAGTTTCAGTCTTCGGAAACACGAAAAAGTCCTGACTCTATAAAACTGTGTCTGAATTTGGTGGTTTTTCGAACTAACCGGACGTATAAACTCTCTCTCTAAAAAGAACTGAAAGCCCTCAAGAATTTGGAATGACTTATCCCAGCTTTTCAGTACCAAACAAAACAAAGTACCAAAACTCCAGCTTTGAAAGCTTTCGATAAACTCCCCACAGGTGGAAGCAGAAGAAGAGGAAGACCATCGCTCGTTTGGAAAGATTAGGTAGAGAAGGACATGACAAAAGTTGATATTTCCAACTGGTGCTAAACAGTGAAAAGAAGAAATGATTGGCATTCTGTTGTTAACTCAACTGTTGGTAACTCGCTAAGCGAGTCGGTCTGCACCAATAAAGAAAACGAAGATTTCGATCTATATAAAATTATGCTTTCCTATTGGGAACTCACTATTCATAGCCAACCGAATACACAAGTTACATTGTGCATAAGTTTATTGATTATGGATTTTCACCCACTTTTCACCTTCACCTCGCCAAATGCCCCCCTCCAACATACAGGGTTGCATATACGCGCACAGCACTGCGCCTTACTCGTACTCCCAGCAATCAGCATTAGTATACACATCAGGGCTAATGCACGAGGCCACCACGTACATGTATTTGGGTCATCGCTTTCAGACGTGCGACGTTCTTACGGGCACTACAAGTGTGCGAAGAGAATTGCAGGCCACGCTTGTAATGCCACAGGCAGAAACACCGAAACGTTGCGATATGTGTGTATGCATGTATGTATGTGCATATTTAGTTACATAAAATATGGTTGGATGTGTAATTGGGAAGATTTCGAGTGTTGGCTCGACTGTTATGCTGTTTATTTGGTCTGTTGGCCTGTTGGTCTGTTTGTAGGTTTGCCTGTTGGTTCATTCGTTGCTTGGCTGGTTGGTTGGCTGCCAGTTGCAGTTGCTGTTTTAAAGTTTATTGTTGCGGCGTTTATCTCATGACACGACTGACGCGCGCACATTTGGCTTCTGAATAGTTAAATGTTTGCTGGCTTCACCCAATTCAATTCAGTTGTGGTTTCGAAAACATTTTGATTGAAAAAGTAACCCATCAATCTGTTACACATCAATGTCAGCTGGAGTAGATGTGCGTAGTGGATGTACGTGTATATGTGCCTGTGTGGATTTGATTAGAAATATTAACAAAGTTTTCAATTCAACGCATCACTTATTACTCAGTAATCCGAATTGATCTGGTGGTCCCAGATTGTGTAAGGAGCTTTATATATTTTTTGATATTTTTGTTTGTTTTTTCCTCCATAACATAGTACAGAGCTGAAAAGTTGCGTCACCAAAAAGCTCACGGAGCTAGGCAGCTCTCCCTCTCCAACTAATTTAAAGGCTGTTCCCTTAGACTTGGCTCAAAGCCATTGAACAGTGTTCATTGAAGACACTATAGCTGTTGTAGAGGCCCGAATCAATCCAATTTATGGAAGATTTTGCGGAAGGCGCTCGATTTGAGAGCTTACGAAATCAAATTCGTGCAAGAATTGAAGCCCAATGACCATCAAACGCGTCGTAAGTTCGGTGTATGAACCAAAAAAGTGATGTCCATCGGTCTAGCTTTTCCCGTTCAGGGATTAAGCTCTTGCTTGGTTCAATGTGTATCTTAATAAACGAAATTGTCGCATAAGCAACTGATGAGACGTCGTTACATAGTTTGGCTTACTCATCGTGCACGGCGATGAGATCCGCCAGTTAAAAGAGGCGTGGCATTAAATCATAATTTTTTGCATTTTCCGAGATTTTTCCATTTTTTGTTGGAGGCGATTTCTATGTCGAGCGCAAAATTTCGCGGCGTCAGGTTATATAATTTTGTTATCAGAAAAATTCATTGAGCTAGGGTCTACGCCAATGTACTATAAATTCTTCCCGTAGCACGCAGCCTGAGTAGAAAGAATATAGGTTTTCAAAGTACTTTGCTCATATCCGTTCGCAGTTACGCTCATAGCTCTGATGCAGAGTTGGGTTTTCCCTTCATTAAACTCCATAACTCCTGTCAACTCTGCTCACATCCTTTTTATTTATTTTTTTCAATGTCCCAGCTCGGCAGGGAATGTCAACCTCTCCGAGTGTATTTCTGACATGAAATAAAGCCTCCTCATAAAAATTCATCGGCCTTTCGGAGGCGGCTTAGTATAAAATGTAGGTCCCTCCATTAGTTGGAAAAACATCAAGTCACAAAATCACCAATTGGAGGGGACGCCCTGTCGAAAATCGCTTCAGCGGTTACAAATTATTACATACGACTTAATTGGTCATGTATCTTCAAGAAGTGGATCGCGAAACAGGAAGCGAGTTGTTTTGACGTGGGTAGCAAATTAATCGTATCCTTTCTAGGATAGGTTATGTTGAACTCACATAGACGATCTGTCGCGTTCATATAGCCGATCAGCGTGTTGCAAAGCTCTGAGTTAATACACCTGCCGGACAAGCATCGGAAAGAGGTTTATTTTACATATTCCCTGCTTTACTGGACTTGGAAAGTTTGGCGGCATACGTTTGACACATACATAGTTTTCACTACTCTTCTTCGTGTCTAAAGCTTATTAGTTGGATGATGCAGCAACCTTACTTGTCATGTTTCAGTTCTCTGTGTCGGACTGTCAAGTTACGCCTTGTTTTGAAAAGCCTTTATCTTTAGCCACTTGATCGACTTTCTTATTGCCTTTCACGTTGCCGACTTTTGTTTCCTTTCACAGCCAGTCTTTTCAACGCCTATTTTCCAGCCTTTTCACAGCCAACCAACATAGAAAAGTATTGGCTTAACAATGACAACGAAGATCTAATGCGAAATGGTTCGTGAAATGCAAGCCAACATCGTTTTACAAGTGCAAAGAGCTGCTGATGATTTCTTCGCATACTTCTTCACGACTTCTTGCTCTTCAGTACTATTCCCACGAACTGAGTGCTCAGTTTCGACTGCAAAGTGGTCTCTCCTAGTTTTCTCATGATCCACGTGAGAATTTAATACTTGGTTTGTTAGTAGAGATCGCGGGGTACGTCTTACAAGTATTGACGTTAGGTCGCACTGAGTTAATGCAGTTATTTATTGTTCTGCGAGTATAATCACCTAGAACACTAGAAAGGTTGTCAAATACATACCACCTACAATATCCGAAGTACCCTCTGCTTAAACTGGCTGCTTTCTTCTCGAGCTTTATCAGCAATCTGTTTATCGCGATTGGTGCAAATGTGTTTTGCTATGTTAAAAATAACCCTGGACTTCATCTTTTTTGAACTTTTCTTACTGAGACTAAGTTGAGTTGCTTGGCCAAAGATCTCTGCAATATTCTACAAAGATTCTAGGGGTAGGATGTTGTTTGACTTAGTAAACAATACACAAGTTTACTATCAGACCAAAACGGTAAGTTTATGAACAACAAGTATTTCATAACCCTTAAGCTGAAGCCCGCGAATTGAGTTTCTCATTTTTATTATTATTTTTGTGGTTTTTTTTTGTTGCATAAAATTTTAGTTCACCTCAAAATCATCTGCAGTCTGGTTTAAAGAGTCCTCCGTTTCAGGCGGCGTCATATTTGGTGTGCTCATGTAAGCCAAAAATTCCTCTTCAATCTCCCCACTGACTGAGAAATGCAGTTCGGTGCCCACCTCAAAAGGCAAATACAGAATTGAACCCCGTTTTAGTAGCAATTGATTGAAGGCTTTACCACTCAGTAAACGCTGACCGCTTAAGACAAGTAATATTGCCGGCGTTTGCTGGATTTTCCAAATATACTCCGGATCTGAATGGGCCAAAGTTAATTTTATGACCAAAAAATCCTCAACCGGAGCCTTGAATAACAAACAATGCTCGTCAATAGGTAGAGGTTTGAGTACTTTGTCTTCAGCCGCAACGCTTTTGCAATCCACCAAGTTGACTAGATTCTTTATATCCCGATATTTGTTTGTCAAACCCGCACGTAGTACATTATCCGAACAGGCCACACATTCCACACAATCGCCCGAGAGGTATGCGTGCAGTTCATTAGCGCCGATAAACAACGCCTCACCAGGCTCCAGCCGCACAATGTTCAGAAAGAATATCGAAAGTACGCCAATGTCATTGGGGAAATCATTTTTCAATTTGTTAAAAATTTCGAGTACATCAAAATTGCACAGCTCTTTGCCAAAATCACTGGAAATGATATTGATGCATTTGCTTATCTCCTCACCATCGGTGGCAATCAATTTCGTATAGCAATTACGCAAACCCAGTGCATCGTCCGCAGCCAACCGATCAAAGTCATCGGAGTTTTCTACTGCCACCGCTTTAAGTGGATAAATATCCGTTAAGATAGCTTTGATTTGCGCAAGTGGCCGAAAGCCACACAATCCCACGAATGGTGTGAGTGCAATTATCATTTCGGGTCTATGATTGGGATCCTTGTACAGTTTGGGTTCTTTCACGTGCAATACTTCAGCGTCCGCTTTAGTGGGATGCATTTCAATATTCAAAGCCTTATTTATGCTCACCACTTTCATTACGAATGGCAATTCCTTCGGGAGCGCAGTCCCACTAGTTTTAATCCTGCCTGCGCCGCTAGCATATGACCCGATCCATAGTTCCGAGTAGTGCATATTCTCATCAATTTTGAAAGTCTCATCATTGAGTTTGGCAATTTGAGCCACCAACGAATTGCTGCCCTTCTTTCCCCATAGGTCTTTGTGTACGTCGCCAATCAATTCCATTTTTATCAGCAATTAAAATTTCTTTAAAGTTCAATTTTATTTTTGGCAGTCGGCACTTTTTTCTTTCTCCCGTTCGGATTGACAGCTAACGAGTTTGAAAAATAAGCAAATTTTGTACGTGTAGGTATCTTGAATTCCCAATAGGCTTAAGCTTAAACTTATTACGTACGCGATTTTCCAATTTCAAACAAACGGTCCTTCCGTTTAGTTTATTCTAAGCCGCCTTTATGAGGAGCCTTTATTTCGTGCCAAAAATACACTCGTAGGGTTTGACATTCCCTGACGAGGGGCAACCACAAATAAAAAATTTATATTATTTTTTTGTTTAAATTAACTTTTTACGACTTTTGGATGTTGGTCGTACAAGGATTTCAACCCTGGCCTTACAAATGGCAGTATGCAATGCCAACCACTTGACTACCGCGGCCGCCAACGGCCCACATGACCTACTGCCAGCGTAACTGTTGTCTCTTGATGCGCTTGTCGCCGTCTCAAAGTGCAGAGAGCCATAAATATTATGGGGAACATTTCTCTATAAAACTCTCAACGCCGACTCATCAGATGTTTTCATCGTTCATGACTCCATATAGCAGGCTGGGAACGATGTGCGACTTGTAGAGTTTGGTCCTTTTAATCGAGGGAGGATTTTACTTGTTAATTGTTGACTGTTTGTACGATGACAGACGATTTTCGTCTACTCCTAAATCACTATCATACTCATACATTTCGTTTCTTTCTTCATTCTGGAGAAATCAGAATTCACGGCATAATTGCGGAGATTAGTGATGCCAATAGAATCGACCAAGTTTGGTATCGAATGTTGCAAAGAGGTTCTTCCCGAACCTGACTGCGCTTCTGGTGTTGTTTGACACTCTTTTCACGGGTCTCTCAAAAAATCTGACACATGGCGAATATCTGCTCAATGGTGGTCTAAAGCCACACTGATAAGGGTCCATTTGCATGTTGACGTCAAGCTCTAGCCGTTCGTACAATGCGTTCGATTAGACCTTATATGCGATGTGATAGATTACGCAGAGCACACTTGAGTTTCAATCGTTGGGTTTGCTTTCATCCGACCATATTTTGTAAAGTAGCGGAAGCATAAATCTCGTCAATTCTACGGCATCGTATTTAAATAGCTCGGTCGGCAATTCATCGGACTTTCTAATTCGGGGTTATGTAAAATTCATAGTTACTGTAACAACGTTAAGGTATTTTTCTTATACATATGTACCAGTTCTCCTTTATACCCACATAACTACATATGGAAACTATTGTGAGGTTAGAAGGTTGACTGTTGCCAACTATGATTTTCCATTCAATACATTTCATACGTTAGACAGTAGACAGCAGAATGACTTCATAATGCAAATATTGGGTGTTGGAAGGGACCTTGAGAGTGTGTCATGACTAAGCATACCAACGCACATGCATGTCTACACACGCAGACACAACGAATAAGCGTTTTCAGTCCCAGTTCTTATCCACACTGTTCCATTATGCTGTCTCCCTAACAGTAATATTTATAGTACTTGAGGGCGTTGAGATGATGTGTATTTAGTGTAGTTATATATATACCTACGTACATTTCAATATACTTTCATATGTATTTATATGTAGTTCCTCCTTTCAGCCTTCTATTCAACGTCTGTTTCCTTATCAACATATCAACCGGTCACGGTGGCCAACCGAGAGCCTATTCAACCGTGTTGTTCAATGGAAAATGTTTTTTTTTTTTTTTGCATTTTTCCTTTTCATGTCACTAAGGCCTCGCTGCTGCTGCTCTTGGCCAATGAAATACACATCATAACTGTTTTTAGGCGGCACAATGAGGTAGCTAACGAGACGGGTTCCCGTTAAATTGTCACAACGAAGCTTTTACGCTCGGCTATCTAGTGGGTATGCGGCGGGAAGTATGTGGTTTTTGAAATAGAGCATATTTGATTGGAGTACATACCCTACATATAAACAAAAACAAAAAGATTTGAGCTTGAGTTGAGTTAAAACCATATTTTGTTTTACATTGAATCTCAATAGAAAAATCAAATCATTTTATTATGACAGACGAGGTTAAGTTCGAAAGCTCTATATGAAGCTTTGACGACGTACAAAAGCTTTCAAGACCGGAGTATACACTTGTAGGAATCAAAGAGATAATGGGCAGACCGAGTTTATGGTGTCAGTTTATGAACGGAAACACCCCGAGATAACGAACCCTATTCCCCAAATCGATAATAAAGGTGCAAACATTCCGTTCAGGTTCAACTACGACGAAGTTTGAATAGCCATTGTTCGTTAGGAGATTAACAAAGCGACGGGAGCCGATGACTTAAACGTTGAGCTAATCAATTATGGCGTTGAAGGCTTCAAGAAATGCGTGCATTGCATTAGCTTCTAAGCGGCATATGATCGCACGAAAGCTTACCTGATGATGGCAGCCTGAGTGTGCTCTGTTCAATAGAAGATAGAAACTGATTACCGTGTGATAAGCCTTATCAATATCGCAAATACGGCATTCTCTAGTGTAATGTGTGAAAAATTAAAGACCAACGTCAACTTATGAGTGGGGCTTTTGGCCTGATATTCAACATGAGTCAAGTGGAAAAAAACTTTAGAACATGGCAACTAAGTTTCCGTCAATTTAATATTTCTATTGAAGCTGAGCAACACCAAAAGCTACGTCAGAATTGGGTCGGCTATGGTCTCTTTGAGCCGTTCGTTACTACACGACTTATCAGTCAGGATGACTCTTTATCGTGTCACTTCTTCAACTTAATGCTAAAGAAATAAAAAACAAGCTCCAAGAAGACTAACCGAGAAGGTGAAAGCCTCTACAGGAGCCTGCAACTTTTGTCTTATGCCGCTTAGTTCTGTTTTCAACATACATACACAATGAAGCAAAGCTAATTGGACTGGTAGTGAACAAGGGCAAGACGAAATATATCCTGTCATCAAACAAACAGTAATCACATAAGCGATTCGACTTCCAGACAACTGTTCATAGTCATAATTTTAAATTTACATTTACTTTCGTCTATCCTTGAAGCAGCCTTAACATCAACAACAATATTAGCCTAGAAATACTACGCAGAAACACAAAGTGCTCATGCCTAAAGATCCCACTTTGACTATGTAGCCGATTGAGAAACAAAGTGCTCTCTGAACGAAGAGAGATAACGTTTTACAAATCGCTCACCACTTTGTTCCGGCTATATAGCGCAGAAACGTGGACGATGTCAACATCTGATGAGTGGGCATGGTCCTTTGTTGGTTATGGTGCTTTGTGCATTGGCAACGGCAAATACCACAGACGATAGAATGATGATACGGTACGGTGAGCTGTACGACGACATTTACAAACATACATACATACATAATTGGCGCTCTATAACCGCTGCATCGATTTTCAGCCGAGCTCCTCTTCCAATTTGTGAATGTTTTTCCAAAAAATATAAGGACATACAGTTTATACTAACCCACCTCCGAACAGCCGATGGATTTTTATGAGCAGCTCTTATTTCATATCAGAAATGCACTTGGTGGGCTTGACGTTCCCTGTCGAAAAACGACCGAAATTAAAATTTTTTATACTAACCACTCGACTATTGCGACCACATTTACATGAGCCAGCGAATAAAGAGACGGATACTTTGCTGGATATCTCAGCCGGATGGATAAAAGCCATACAGCTTCAATAGTATTCGACGTAGTACCCGCTGGTGTAAATAGAAAAAGAGGAAGGATTAGGTGGAGAGCAAGCTTAACTAGCTTTGTACAAATGGCGTCGAACTGCGAGGCCTACACCAAATAGAAAGAAGACATTTGAGTAGAGAATCTAATACATTTTGAGAATTTCTTTGAGCATCAACTTGAGAACTGCGCCATACTCAAAGTTTGGAGAAATATTATTTTCCCCGCTTGTTGGGTATGTGCATATGAATCATGTATGCATACGATATGTGTGCAACTACTCGTACTCTACCTTAAGGATACTGACAACCCCTACTCCGGATGAAGACAGCAATTATTGCACTCTCATTCAAGTCTCAAGTATCAACCAGTCACTGGACTGTTCTACCGCAGCTATTTTTAAACAAATTTTTATACACACACATACATACGTGTATATTGCCATAGTAAATATGTGTATCACATCCGCTGACACTTAATGTAATGCAGAAGTAATGGCAGAGAGAGAGAGTACAAATTATTCCCTTAATTGTGCATTAGCCTTTGTTAGCCATCCACTTAAGGGCACTTGGCTGTCAGACAGTGTTGAGGTAAAGGGGAAAGGGAAGGGTCTCTGGCAGGAAAAAGTGCTGAAGATGCAAGCATTACTGTTACACATAAAGTTATTTTTAAAGTTGTTTTCTTGCGGCTCTTTGGGCTTTACTGAAATTATCGATTTATCTCGAGCAATCTTAAATTTTTTTAGTCTGAGCACTTGGCAAAATAAGTTTTTGATTTCTAAGCACTTGAAACGAAAAGTGTGTCAGAAATGTCAAAAAAAAAAAACAAAGGGAAAGGAATCTCAGAAAAATTTCAATCCAAAAAAACATTCATAAAACGCCATTGTGATCTAAGGAATTATATTAACTTGATTTGAGTGGTCCATGCTTGAGCTTGGCTAGTGAGGGCTGTTTTATGTTAATTTTTTCTTTTCTAAATCAGTCTATAAAATCGATAGATTTCTGAATATTCTTCTGACGTTTCTTCGCCGATGTATTTTTGACTAACGGTAATGAAACTCTTTACATAGATATGTATATATGTATATATACGAATATTTCATCTCTATTTGCTTGGAGACAGCTGCCTCGTAATTCGCTGAACTAATCCGATGTTGTTGCTTTTCTCGTCCAGCTCATCGATATTCGCTGATGAGCCACATGAAGAATGGCAGTGAAATTGGAACACCTGAAGATGATTAGCTTGATTACCCAAGGGAAGGCGTTGGAAGAGATGCTTCAATGCCTGATCATGCAGAAGATCGAATAGCAATTCTCCGCTTGAGAAACAACCAAGCAGCAAGGACTGAAGTATTACCGACCTAGTAGCACGCACACAGGGAGAAAGTTCATGAAGCTGTTAATGGACTCTTGACTGTACGCCGTACGCTGTTACTGGATGCATTACTTTAAGTCAAGTACTTTCATTCTGATGTGCTTGGATGGAGGTTCAGCTTCTAATAAATGTTTGTTCAGGTGCTCCTGCCAGCAGAATCTCACAAGATTTTGCTTGCACAGCAAAGCATTAAGCTTCTTAACCCATAGCATAGATGCTTTGCTGTGGTAGTTATGTTCAGGCGACATCGTAAGGTTTCCTGTCACGGTCCTGAGAAAGGCGGATAATTACTTTGTACGTTGCCAGCATAGTTTCTTTAACTTTACTCAAGGTCCTGCCGGCTTACGCTTTGAGGGTTTTGTTGTGGCTTTGGAGTTTTGCGGCAATTGCAGTTATATATGTGGAGGGAGGGAGTGCAAGCTGTTGAATATGACTCCCAGTAGCTTTGTGTTGTTTATAGTCAGAAATTTGACTGCGTCAACTTTCACATCGTACTTGAGCCTGTACTCCTTCATTTAGCTGGTGAATAGGGTAGCCGAGGATTTTGTGGGTTGCAATCTTAATTGTCTTGCAGTGAAGAAGTGGGAAAGATCGTTGAGATAGTAGTTTAATTTCGAACATAAGTCATCAATATCGTGCCCAGACGCCAATATCATCTAACTCTCCTCTCCCTCCGAACCCGTCGAAATAGCTCGTTTTCTGGACCACCCGTTAGATGACCTCGATGACTTAGATTAACCAGATTTTTCCTAAGTTGGGTTGGAGAATCGCTACAACAACAACAACAACAACGGAACTTAAGTGTGCACTGCTCAATCCTCTAAAAGGAGGAGCGCACAGTCTACGCCAATTACTATGTAGAAAGCCTCCTCAATATCGTGTATCGAGCGTGTTGTGTGAAAGACTAAAGCCCACCGTCACGAAAAGGAGCTGCCTCTACGTCGCTATGTCAGAATTTGGTATCCCTATAGGTGGAATAAGGCAGCGAAGCACATGGGTCTGGTAGTGAACGAAGGTAAACGAAATATCGACAATCGTCAAACTTCATACATGGTGCCGAGGCATAAACGATGACAACATCTGCTGAGTCGGCGTTAGGAATTTTCGAGAGAAACGTTTTGCGTAAGTTTATGGTCCTCTTTGCGTTGAGTTGTACAAGGTATACGTACATTGACAAAGTTCAGCTCAGACATAAGACAGAGGCTACCCTGGCTAGCTCATGTGGGCCGGCTGAATAAGAACACTACAGCTTTGAAAGTTTTCGATGATATATTCGATGGTTAAAGCAAGGGAAAAGAAAGAACTCCCCTTCGCTGGAAGGACCATGTGAAGGAATACCGAACAGCGGAGAGAGGGAGTAAATGGCGCACTATGTTTCGAGTTTTTTTTTTTTGAAATCGTGAGCTAGAGTGGATTTTATGGAAAGAACACACAGTAGAGATTGGTGCAGCCCTGTTCCTAACCGAATGTTTTTCACTGAAAGTGCAGTGAAATTCCTTCCACTTAAGAACAGCTTCAGCTAGTCTTTTCCACTTTCCGGGGCAAACAAGCTTGTCACATCCATCATAAAGGATTTTGGTGGGCTGAGCTAAATTTTTCGGTCTGTATTAAATAATAACTGTAAAATTCAGAGCTCTACACTATAGTGGAAAAATCCTCAGGTCTTAATGCCATGCGAGATTGCTTTTTTTGTATCTTTATAAAAAAATTAATTATTGGTAGCCGAGTAATTAGCATTGCCTACTACTATTGGGAAGGTCACGGTTCAAATCCTGCTATGACTAACATCCAAAAGTTATAGAAAATTAATCTAAATAAAAAATGAAGTTAAATTTTCTCTTTGGGGTTGCCCCTTGGCAGGGAATGGCAACCCCTACGATTGTATTTCTGACTAAAATAATGGCTCCTCATAAATAACCGATCGCCGTTCGGAGGCGGCTTCATATAAACTGTATAAAACCACAAATTGGAGGAGGAGCTCGGCCGAAAATCGCTGCAGCGTTTACAAAGCGCCAATTATATATATATTTTCTATATATATATATATATATATATGTATGTATATATATATATATATATATATATATATGTATGTGTGTGTGTGTGTATATAGAAAAATTAATTATTTATTATACAACCAAAATAATCGTTATGTTTTTAGGTCACAGTGTCAAATACCAAAGCAACTTCCATACTGCCATACATAAATACATACATATGTATGTATGCATTACCCTTGCTTTTTTTTATTTAGCAATAATAATAGTTATGTCTAAAAGAGAATAAATTCTAACTAAAGTGGGACCTATATGCATTTTATTATTTTCCATTTTGCTATAAACTAAATATACTCGTATATATGTGTATGCCAAATGTGCTATATTTTATGCTTGAGCTCTCAAAATCATACTTACATGCATACACCTATAAAATACATAAAAAATTTTATTTTTTGTTTATTTCATAAATCTATAAGGATGTATACACAGAGTGCATGCCAGCCAAAGCCTCTTAAAAATATTTCTTAAAAACCATTCACATGGTGTCTAAGTACTTGTGTACGTACATACATACCCACATATTTGTATGATAATTTTTTGTTTATTTATTTATTTTTTTATTCCTCTGCTTTGTTTATTTCATAGTTGGGGCGAAAGAATTTTTAATTAAAACAAAATTAACTGGTGCATAAATGTTTGATTTGATTGTATTTTCATTTCTGAGCTATTTTTATAGAGATTTAAAGGTTATTTATACCTTAAGCTTGCATAAAAAGTCAAAAACCTCATTAATTAGTAATACATATGTATTCGTATGATATATATTAAAAATTTGGTGATTTTTAATCACTTGACTCTAACTTAATCAGAAAACATATGGGGTTATCCATATCGCCGTTTCGAAAGTGCACGGGACTGAATTTTGGGATCTGTCAAAGTAAACATGTTTTGTTTTAGTTTAAAGTCAGGTATTTATGAAAATGCATCGTGAGTCAAGCATATCTGCGTTTCGTGCTCTAAGAAGAGATTATGACGCCCATAATCGGCCAACTACTCAAGCAGTTACAGAGGTTGTAAAACCTGTGCTTCACCGTTTTGCCCGCTCCACCTCAAATACGGCACATTATGATGTATTTTGCAATTGGGCTTACAACTACGTCCTTATTAAGTCCAGCTCACACAACAAGCAACTGAAGCCAGCTGACAATTGACAGCACTGTACATACGTCGATCGGGTGCTTGGAACAACAAGCCGTGGATGGCGATTTTTCGAATAAAACTTTCTTCAGTGACGAAACCCCTTTCTCACTCGGGGCATATGTAAGTAAGAAAATCTCTAGCTTTATAGCTCGGAACCTTCTGGTGCGTTCTTCAGTCCGGAGATGTGATTGAACATTATTTCTTTGAAAACGACAACGGCGAGACTGTCACTGTTATTTCGCAGCTTTTTGTACTGCTGTTAAAGACCCCGACATGAACAATATGTGGTTTCAACAATTTGGTACCACATGCCACACAACTCGAGCGGATATGGGCTTTATTGCGAGAGAAATTCCTCGGCCTCGTAGCCTTTGTCTTTGGCGGTGTCAGTTGGCTACCCAGATCGTGCGATTGGTTATCATTGGAGATATTTATGTAGAGCTACGCGAAAAACCGTCTTTATGCGGATAAACCTCTTCACTCTTGAGGACTTGAAAGCAAATACTCGCTAATTTATTATTGCCCAGTATGCCAAATGTTCAATTTCCTGAAAAAAAAAAATTTTAAGTGGAAAGTTCCAATTTTTTTTTCGAGAAAAAAAGCGATCATTTTAATTGTTGCAGTAAAAACTCAAACCCAAACAAAAATGCTGATGTTTCAAAAAACGAAAAAAATTGCCTCAAAAACGGAAATAAAAAATATTTAAAAGAAATATGAAACCTAACAAAAAACTTCTCGTTGACTTTGAGCGCATAAAATATGTCTATTTGCATATAAAATGTGCATATGTACATACACAATAAATTCTTACAGCAACACATGTACATAAGTACATATTATTAACCTAATATTAATTATATCATATCATATGTATGTATATGCTCTGCAGTTTGAATACATGAAAATATGCAAAAATATTTTTGTTGTCTGTATGAAAATACAAGCTTTTCTCCTCTAACTAATGTATTTATGTTATAAGTGCCATTAAGGGCACTGTAACGCAAATAATATTTTAGCTTAATTTAAATTTATTACACACATTCCCAATGTCGGTAAGGCAGTGCAAAAGTGCCAGTGTCAGCTTTCCATGATTTCACGCAGACTGCGCAACTTTAATGTATTTAATTGTAAATTATTAACATAATTTACTTAATCACAATTATATTTTTTATTATGTTTTTATATTTTAAACGTACACTTTTAAAAATCATAACACAAAACTGTGAACCAAAAATTGCCCTGAATTTGTAAAAATACAGCAGCACTGCTATCACAGCGTAAATCGATTTTTCTGTCATTTGACAGCTGAGCATTTCAGAGAACGTATAAAATTCTACGTTCTCTGCGCTATGCTACTGTCAAATCAATAGCAGCATTTGCGGACAGAAAATATTCTTTTGCGGCCGGTGTTTGTATGAAAATCTATTTTAATTTAATTAATACAGTATAAACACAGGTAAGTGCCTTGTAATATACCAGCGAAAGTTGCAAAAATGTTCTAATAAATTTAATTCCACAGACGGCATTATGTTTGGTACTTTGCAAAATTATTTGAGCGGTATACAGCGTAGTTGGTCTGCGGCCGATGGCGACTCCTTGGCATCTTTTATATCACTTAAAGACAAACATATAATGAATCGTAATCTCTATGTGGAAAGTCCGGAGAATATAGTGGAGCGTATACTGGATCCGCCCATTGATGAAATTGTCAGTGCACATCTGAAAGTGTTATATTATTTGGGCATGGAAAGTGAGTATTCATACTTGAATAAAATTTAATGTTTATTTTGCTCATTAATAAATATTCGGTTTTCTATTAGAGCGTGACTTTATGCAAGCTTACCGTCAACAATCACAATGCATACAATCTGTGGTGAAAATGTTGCAACAACTAAAAGACGAAAATTGGTGTCTGCCCATTATGTACACGACCTGCTTGGATTTACGTATACTAGCACAAAAATGTGAAGAGCTTGGAAGTAGCAGCAAACCGGGGGAGATACTTGAAAAGGCTGCCGATTGCTTAATGAGTTGTTTCCGTGTATGCGCAGCAGATAACAGGTGATTTCTATTTGTTAACAGTCCATTGAATATAAAGAATATATAATTTATACATTTAATTACACTCAATAGATCTTCCGATGATGACACCAAACGACTTGGCATGCTCAACCTTGTTAATCAACTCTTTAAAGTCTACTTCCGCATCAACAAATTGCATTTGTGCAAACCACTGATACGTGCCATTGACAGCAGCACCTTCAAAGATTCTTTTCCATTACCAGAACAAATTACCTATAAATATTTTGTAGGCCGCAAAGCAATGTTCGATTCGGACTACAAAAGTGCCGATGAATTTCTTTCCTTTGCACTACGCAATTGTCCACGTAATTTCCCACGCAACAAGCGTCTGATACTGATCTACTTAGTGCCGGTAAAGATGCTACTTGGATATTTGCCAAAAAAACAGAACCTCGAACGATTTGACCTACTACAATTTCATGAACTTGCCGTCGCTTTGAAAGAGGGCAATGTACGTAAATTCGATGAAGTTATACAACGACATGAGATATTCTTTATCAAATGTGGCATTTATTTGTTGGTTGAAAAATTGAAGTTCATTGTCTATCGTAATCTCTTCAAGCGTGTGTATAACATCAAACAAACACATCAATTGGATTTGTCGGCATTTCAAGCGGCACTGCAATTTGTTGGTGAAACCGATATGAGTATTGATGAAACACATTGTATAGTGGCGAATTTGATATTTGAAGGAAAAATCAAAGGTTACATCTCCTATAGTCACAATAAATTGGTCGTGTCAAAACAGAATCCTTTCCCACCACTCAATACAGTCTCCTAGGAGCGGGCTATGCGTGGCAGTGAGCTACATGGACCGGGGTCGTTAAGTTATTTATAAAATACTTTTATACCTACTTTTAACTATGGTACGCTAATTTAATAAAAAAAATAAATGTATGTATATATTTTGATGTAAATTACTACTATATAATGCATATGTGCGCAATTGAAGTTAGCATTTATGAGAACTAATAATTATGACTTGTTTAAGTGTAAAGAAGAACGTGAAAATGTACAAATAAACAAGATGTCTTGTTTCTTCAAGAACAAAATTTTATTAAAACATGACAACTTCATAAATTGCATACCAATAAAGGAAAAAAAAGTCTTTTATTATAGTATAAATCATTTTCATTTCTTTTTGCAAAGTTCGAAGGGAGCATGTGTACGTGTTACGCTAAGGCTTGACTCGACTGCCTAGGAATACAAACATTATTATGATTTTTTTTTTCAAATTTCATCTGAAGCGAAGAGAAACGAACAAAGCCAGACAAAATTGCATGCACCGATCTCTAGGTAAATTTTTACTGTGAAGACCAAATTATTTTCCACAATAAGTTTCGAAATCATTTAATTTTTCTTCTCTTAATTGGAACCTAGAAAATATTGAAGAGCATTTAACAATTCAACAAATATATGCACTTATATACATATATATGTATGTATGCATATGTATATGTAAATGTAGAAAATTAATATTATTCCGCGTTTTTATATATAAATTCTATGCAAAAAATTCAATACAAGTATTTAAATGGAATTCTAAGTATAATTTTTTGCCTTTTTGCTACTTTTCAGATATTCAAGAATTCTATGAATTAACACTGCTGGACGACTCGAAGACAATACAGCAGAAGACAGCGGAAACTTTGCAAATCGCTAGCAAATGGGAACAGGATGGTCATGCAATAAAAATCGCTGATGTAAGTAAAAAGAGAAAAAATATTTACATATACATAAATACATATTATGTATGTGTATATGAGTATATTTGCTATGATACATAACGGTTTAGTGTATTTTTTTATTTATTTATTTTTTTTTTAAATCTTAATAAACATAAAATAATTTCAGTTGGCATAAAGCCAGTAACCTCACCAACCCAACTGGCCAAATTTGAGCTACAATGTCGCGAAAATTCATTTATTTTTTTTACTCTTAAATCTGATTATAGCGGCAAAAAAAAGTAACAAAAATAAGACCGTATTGCATTTCCTTTCATTTAGATAATAATTATGTAAATAATTATGTAAAAATCATATTAGTTATGCGTTTTGTGTTTTTCGGTAAATTTTCTGTAGAACAAAATCGTTCTGATTTCTGTTATCCAAGAGCAATATTTTGTAAATCTCAAAAAATTGAAGCTTTGAAATGTTAGCATTCGACTGAGAGACTCTACAATGGCCGTAAGATTGTAGTTGTCTTTTTTTAACATTTTAACTTAGCCAACATTCTTTTATAACTGTAAATATGGATGCTGTGGCTTTTTGGGTCACCAATATGACTAAAATAGTCATAATTACCCTCAATTACTGATCAAAAATGAGCTATGACATAATATCTGTCTCTGATGACATACCCATTGGTTTCGAAGCATATTTTTCAACGTTTGGGCTTACTTTTATTTTCTTTTTTTTTATTTTCTTTTCTTGTCTTCCCTTAAGACAAATTTATAAGTCCAAGCATCAATTTCTTTTCGGCAAATTATATTATCGAGGTATACTCTTTCCAATGGAGTGAAGGTCTTCCTCCTCCCCAACTTCCACCAGCGGGTACTGCATCGAATGCATTCAAAGCCGGAGCCCTCTCATCCATTCGGGCGACATGAACTATAGCGGCATCGTAGCCGTTGTCTCTTCATTTGCAGAACTATGTCAATATCTTTCTCGTTTATCTCGAATACTCCCCAAGACCACCTCATCGAATGTCGATATCGTTTACCCATCTGTAGGAGCCCAGACGCAAGTGCGCCGACTGTTTGTTTGATGATGGCAGATATTTTGTTTTGTCCACGTTCACTACCAGACCAATTTGCTTGGATTCCTTATCAAGTCTGGAGAAAGCAGAACTCATGGCGCTATCAATGGCATATGCCAACAGTTTTGCACACTTGTAAAGGGTTGTACCTCGTCTACTTAGCTCTGCAGTCTCCCTGTATGAAACCACATTTGGTATCGAAGAGCTCAGAGAAGTACTTCCCATATCTGACCACACTTCTGGCATTATGCAGAGCCAGTTTACACAGCTGTATAAATTTAGCAAGAATACCAAACCCAGACATAGCGGCATAGAGCCAGTGGCCTTAAAATCGACGAAGAGGTGCTGTGTATTAATTTTTTTCTCACGGAACTTTACCAGGACCTGTTAAATATCTGGTCAAAGGTGTATTTACAGATCTAAAGCCACATAGATAAACTCCAATCAGTTGATTGACGGTGGGCTTTAATTATTCACACTATACGCAAGAGGAGATCTTGTTTGCAGTGTTTACGACTATTATCCCTTGTTAATTAGCACTTTGTATGAGACTTTCAAACTGTTAATGAGTAGAGAACATTTATGTTCCAGTCGTCGGGCGTGATTTCGTCCATTCGTCTTTTGTCCGACCACCTTCTACAAAGAGGTATGCTCTTCGCCGCCACGCTTCAAAAGCTCTGGCCTGAAATCATTATTTCAAATTCAAAAAAGTCTGGTTTCTGTCATCGATTGGGGTTTCCCAACCTGAAACCTGTGAGTCGCCGCATCTTTTCATAGAATTTTCGAGCATCACCCTTTTCGGCTATCTTCTCAAGCTCTTCAAGCTGACGCATTTTTTTATTTCAATCTGACTTACGGTACTACATATTATTTTAAAGATTAGACTATATACTTCAATCCAGAAATGTTAGTTAAAAATTAATCTTCAAGGCTTTGTTTACAAAACTGCAAAAAAGAAATTCTTAAAATTTGAAATGTTGCTCATACGACATGACGAACGATTTTATTTAAAGTCAAGAATTCTTAATTTTAAATCTAAGAAAAACCAGCTAATAGTCTTAGTACGCTTTAGTTTGATAAACAATGTAATTACATATGTACATGCTTTTCATGTACACTTATTTTATAACTGTAATTTTTTTAGTACCGAAATATTTTTGCGATTTACTCGATTGTTACTCATTAACTGACTAAAAATTCCAATTCAGCGGGTTAAAATGTATGTATTTTATTTCTGCAATTAACTAAAATCCTTCATTCGCTAATATACATGCATCCTTATATACATTAATATATACTTACATATGTATGTATGTATGTATGTATCTGGACATAGCATAATGTTATGTAAAATTGCCACCACTTATGCATGAATGTATGTACACGTATGTATACGACACAAACGACACGCGAACTTTTACCAAATTGTAGTTGTTGCCAACGACAACAACAACTACATTCCTAATATAAAACCTAATATTGGTGGATTCATGTGCTTGCTTGTGGCCACTTTTCAAACTTAAAAACAGTATACGATATAAATGGTGCAGACCATGCATGTGTATCAATAAATATGCGTACATACATACATGTAAACATATAAAATAAAATTTCTTCGTACACCGACTAAAAAAACACTTTTGATTCTTCAACACAACCTTAATATTTTTTTTTAAAAAAAATTATTACAATATTATAATTATTTTATATTTGTTTGCTATTGGAAGTGAAACCTGTTGGTTATTTTTCAGTAATAAAAAATATTAAAATTATTTAAACACAATTTTTTTTCAAAATTGGTAAATTGTGAGCCACCAATTAGCCAAATTGCTTGTCTTTTTTTTTAAGTGTACTCATATCAGCAGTTAGTAAATATGTCTGTTTTCCTGCCATGTTTAAATGTTATTTAAGCGTCACATTGACGTTGAAATGACGTTGACCCAGTTCGGTTCAAACGCTACGCGTTGCATGCAGCACATTGCTCTTTGGTGCGTTCTAATTAATTTATTTCATCGCCCAATTGAAAATAACAGCGAAAGGCAGCCTTTGGTTCACTCTAACATACATATATGTATATACATACATATTTTCTGCGCTATATCGAATGAACTTGTTTAATTATTGGGAATTTTTTTTTTTTACAGACATCTCAACAAATATATACAATGCATATGTGTGTATGTAAACATACAATTTGGCTGCACTTAAAAGTGCAGGTACTATACATATACATACATATGTACACATTTAATATATCTCTAAGTATAAAACTGTCTTTGGAAAATATTTTTCAGTTTTACTTTTGCTAAGCTAGGGATTTGTAGAACAGTAAAATAGTTTATAATATATAACAATCAAATAAAAAATAAAATAATAAAATAAAATAAAATAAAATAAAATAAAATAAAATAAAATAAAATAAAATAAAATAAAATAAAATAAAATAAAATAAAATAAAATAAAATAAAATAATATAAAATAAAATATTTGTATGTGGAGAAATATTCTGAGAGAAGTTGAAATTACCTAACCCGTTATTTCCGGAATGTTGAATATTAGTCAAGCAATCCATCACCCATTACATAGTTGCACGCACTGCTAACCACCCGACCTTTAGGATACTTAAAAGGAAACCCTCTACTACGAGCTGCTTCCCTATGACCAAATGCTCAATTCAGCCCTCTACTGCCAACAACTGGGCCGCTTGCAGACAGCACTCATCCAGAAGAAGCTATCTTTGATCAACAGAGGCCGAATTCTGTTCCATCAGGACAACGCCAGGCCACACACGTCTTTGGTGACGCGACAGAAGCTCCAGGATCTCGGATGGGAGGTCCTAATGCACCTGCCTTACAGTACGGACCTGGCACCAAGTTATTACCATCTTTTCCTGTGCATGGCGAACGCGCTCAATGTTGAGAAATTGGTCTCAAGAGAGGCCTGTGAAAATTGGCTCTCCGAGTTTTTTGCCAATAGGGACGCAGCCTTCTATGAGAGGGGTAAAGTAAAATTGGCATCTCGTTGGCAACAAGTTTACAAACAAAACGGCGCATATTAATCGGTCAAATTTTAAGAATAAAAAAAATTAAATTTACTAAGTGCAATTTTCTAAAAGAAAAACGGTAAAATGCAACAGACCGTGGAAGAATACTCAACTTTGTATATATATATGTATGTGTGTACTTGATAAGCAGGTGGGGCTTAAAGTTTTGCAAAAATTTCCACTTCGACGTTTCTACGTCAAAACTTTAGCACTTTTACGGCAAAGTAAATAAAAGTAAAAAAAAAATATATATATGAGATATAAATGTATGCACGAATATATTACGCACACATAAATAACTTCACTTTCCCACAATTTCAATTTCCTCCACCCATTCTTGGCCATATATCACTTTCCGGCCCAACAACAATTCAGTCAGCTGTCGTTAACTTCAAAACAAAAAGTGAAATATTTCTTAGAACTTGAAAAAAATTGCTTGCTCTGGTTGCTTTTGAGTTGCAAAAAATGTAAAAAATTAAACAAAAAATAAATCTAAAAAAAAAATATTAAAGAACTGAAGGAAATGGAGAAAAAATTTGTTGTAACGATTCACGCGTTTTATTCTTTTACCAAGAAATGAAAGTTATTTGCATTCGAAGGACCTTCAAGTCGTGCACTAACCCATTTCAGGTGAAGGAAATGAATTTGTATGTATGTATGTATGTATTCACTTTCGAGTATGTACTTGTGCACATTTGCACATTTTTATTTTTTATTTGCAATTTATTGATTATATGATTATAAACTTTTTTCAAAGTTAATTCCATTTCATAACCACAAAGCTAAGGACGACTGAGTAACAGCTAGAAAGTGCATGTACATACATATATATATGCCATACATACGAGTATATGTATACGAGATATAAAGGTTTGCGTTTGGTACCCAGCGAGCGAGGGTGTT